ATTTAGATTAAATTGGTAGCATAAATAAAACATTGCATCAAAAACTCATGTGGAAAAAAATAACAACCTTTGCTATTTCCATGCTAGTGCCTTTTGTAGATTCAATTAATCACAGAAATTAGCATGACATATTAAAAAAGATGAAACTGGAATACTAAAACACTTGTAGCAGTTTAGTAATTTAAGGCATGGGATCAGTTCTTACATTAAACTGAAGTGAAAGGGAATTCACATCTTAGTTAAAAATGTCAGTACCTCTTGTCAATGTAGCTTGTGAAAAAGCATCATTGAAATATTTTCCTTCCTCAGAAACTGTTATGTTTGAAAAATGTATTCTGATTGTCCTGATTAAATAATAGAGTTGAAAAAAGCAGTTCTATTTCAGACAGCTATGATTCAATGAATGCAAACCTGGCACATAAATCACAGCAATAGGTAGAAATAAAAGAGCTCAATTACAGTATTCTTGATAGCTTTCTACAACTTGATGGTGAGAGAGTTTAGTCTTTAAAGCAAAGTGCTGTGATTTTGTTCAAAACAACACTTAAATGGCACAATCATATTAAAACTCATTCAGATTTCATTTTAGAGAAAACAAAACTAATTTCCATTTCCCATAATTAATTAAGTTTTGTTTAACACAATATTTCCTTGCAAACAGTATCTATTTCTAAGCAGAAAATTAAAAATTAAGACTGCAATGTTCAAAAAAGTACTCTTTTTGGTTTTTGGAGCATCAACCTAGCAGGTAGATGGGTTAAGCAGGCACCTCTGAGTATTCTAATTTAGGCACCCAAAATTTGGGAATCCAGAATTAATGGCCACTTTTGAAAAATCTGGACCTAAATACATTACAATTTTCTAGTATTTCTAGTATTTTCTAGTATTTGAACAACTGTATTGAAAACAATACAGTCTGAGGACACGATCGTATTTTCTAGCTTTATGCATAATAATTTACAGTATGCCAACGTGGTCTACAGTACGCCAACGTGGTCTTCCAGAATACAGTGTACCATCTAGCTACTCTACATGATTCACATCTGTATGAGGGAAGGAATAACACAAACGCACAGTAAACAGGTGTTACATAATAGCTGCATCTCCCAGGTGGACAGTGAGAACTTCTGACATCCAACATCGGACAATACTTCACACCACTCTTGGCATTTAATTGCCCTTACCATATACAACACAAAGGAGTTTGGCTTTCAGAAAGGAGTATGTGTGGGAAAATTTCATTTATATAATATTTACGATAAAAGCTGGTGTGAATAAACAGAATAAAATACCAAAACAACTGAAACCTGTTGGTGGCCTTTTGTGATTATAGAACTCTGAAGAAATAAAGACACAGTGGGAGAACAAAATGCTTTGAAACATGTGATTTACAGATTAAATTATGTCATGGTAAATCATATATCAATTCCAACTCAACTGTAGTATAATTCATGGCATAAATATTGCATTTAGTAGAATCATTTGATCTGACACAAGCTTTAACTTTCCAGAACCCACAAAAACAATCAGTGAGAAATGAAAATCCTCAAAATTGCAGCTTTAGAGGCCTATTTTTATGAGCACAGCAGTGGTGTGTTTGCACTTATGAAAATGGGATATGTATTTTTGTGCATGCTGTGTATTTTCAGCATCTCTCCTTCTGTATGTACTCTAAGTGTACTCTGATACCAACATAATGTTCTATTTGATAAGCTAGAGGTATCACCTAGTGCTTCTAGGTAGCAATACTATATTTCTGTTCATATATTGCTCACTGCATACCAAAGAACTAAGGGATTATACAGCAAGGAAAATAAAAGACAAAACAACAACCTGGCATAATATTGTATTTACCACAAATAAAGCTTTATATTAGGGTCACATTCTTCGTACATTTTTTAAAGATAAAAAATAGAAGAATAAGAAACTGACCTTTTAGTGCCAAACATAATGGTGAACGATTTGCTTCACATGTATGAGAGTTCTGCACTACAGACTGTTCTAGTTGGTCTGGTCTAAAAATAAAAGAGAAAGATATTTTCAGACTAAGAAATTTAAGAGATAGATGTAAACATCCTAAAGAATGCCTTTACTATTAAACATTTTCCACCAAAACTCAGGCGATACCACACAAAAGTGTTTCAGAAGTAGGCACATATATACAACCGAATATATGCTGAAGTAGATCCAAAGCCTGATCTTCTTATTCAATCTTCATGCAGGCACAGTAATCAATGACTGTTTCCTTACTTGTGGAAGGAAACTGAGTAAGGGGGGGAAGTATAGCTCAGTGGTTTGAGCATTGGCCTGATAAACCCAGGATTGTGAGTTCAATCCTTGCAGAGGCCATTTAGGAATTTGGGGGAAAAATTTGTCAGGGATGGTACTTGGTCCTGCTGTGAAGGCAGGGGACAGGACTTGATGACCTTTCAAGGTCCCCTTCCAGTTCTAGGAGATAGGCAATCTCCATTTTTTTAAAGGACCTAAAACATACCGTTAAATAATAAAAGATACAACCTTTTTATAAAAACTGAAAATTCTGAAAAATGGCATTAATGGTACTAAAATAGTCTCACTCCTCAAGCATTCAGTTCATGCAAAAAGACATCATCTACAAAATAGATATACTTTTAGTTTTGATTGACTGATTTTTCTATTTAACATAAAGCAATCAAAAGATGCTCAGCAACAAGCAATCTGAATACAAATGCTTTTGTTCATTAGAAAAGAGCTATGATTAAATCATTTTTGACTGATGGGACAATTTTAGCTATAAACGTCATTCTAACTTCAGAGAATGCTTGAGGGTATTTCACATTAGTATAACCAACTGCAAGTCATTCCAGGTAAAATGTCGTCATCTTCCTAACTGAGGAAGTAGTGATTGTTAAAATTGTATGTTTCATTATGCTGGGTTTTGGCAGCAATTTTTGTCTCAATTTATTAATATGTATTTGGTTTTGTCAGCACAGTTACTCCACTTTTAAAGCTGCAAAAAGAGTGAGGAGGGGATCTTTCCAATGCTTGTTTTCTCACAGATTCAGCAGCCCATCCCTGGACAAGCAGCACAAATGTAATCAATTTGCAGGACATTTCCCTTCCTTTGCTGAATCTGGGCACCTGGAGGTCTGGATTGAGATATATTTAAACAAAACAGAGCACGTGAGGGAAGTTGAGCTTCCTGTCTATGAATTTCAAAGAAACAGGTGACCAGCTCTTGTTGAAGTTCAATGGGTGTCAGGCGCTTGAATATATCATGGGCATTTTAGAACATTCCATACCTAATTCCTTATTCAGTCACCCAAATCAAAAAGTGTCCTGATATTCATAGCTACTTAGTGCTTCTAAAAAAATCAGGCTACTTAGGCTCCTAATTCCTTATTCAGCCACCTACCTTTAGATAGATAGATATAAAAAAAACTTAGCCTGGGATTTTTTTATTGCTAAATGGTACCAGACGTGCTTAAATCATTTAGAAGTGTAAGTTTTATTGAAAGTCAATGGAACCTTAGGTACTTTTGAAAGAGCAGTTACATGTATTTATTTGATTGTGAACTCTTTAAGGAAGGGCTGCCTTTTAGTTTGTGCACAATAGTACCCAGCTTCTGCCCCGGGGCCTCTTATAGCATTATTATTTACATCTCAATGAGGACTTGGGGCATTCTCATTTCTCAGGAAGAACATAGGCTATTTGCAGAATCTGCATAAACTTCATAAGCTGAGTATCAGAGGCATTCTTCCCTGGACGGTAAGAGAGGAATGCAAATTCAGCAATGGTAGGACATTGCCCCTCAAATGCATTTGTGGGAAACACCAGCACGTAACCTATCTTTGCAAGCAATGGTCCCTCTGTGCTCTTTCCTGGCAGCACGCCTTCCTCTCTTTTTTTTTTCATTTTTGAAACAATGACTTTATAGTTTGTCACCAGAGGCACAGAAGTAAAGAACCACATTTTGAACATTTCCCCCACATTTTAACCAAATTCCCCAATTTGGATACCAAGGAGTAGAATATTGAGGCTTTTTCTCTTACACCAGTTGTCTGCTCAAGGTAGCACTGATTGAACTGTGTTATTCCAATATAGTTAATAGTGCAAAAGGCTGTGGGGAAGCTTATTTCCATTACAATCAGATTTTGAGTTCTCTTAACTCATTTTAAGAACAGGCTTAAACTAAACCAAAATAAGCTTTCACATAGAGTGAGACTCCTTTTCATTATGAGAGGGTTTCACTGTAGAGGAAACTGTGCCCAGAGGGTGGCAGAAGATAAAGCATTTAGACAGGAATACAGTGAATGACAATGAAAATGAAGGAAAAAGAGGTACGTGCGGGATGATGACTTGAATTTGTTGACATAACTAAAACAGGGTGAATTAATGAGAATGTCTAAGTGCTGATCACAGAAACATACAGGCTTTTAAAAGGAACAGGAAACGAAGGAAGCTTAACCATTTATGTTGAGAAAGAGAGACACAGGAAAAGCATAATTGGTCAAATACTCCTGAGAATAGAAGTAGCTCCAATATGCTTACCTAGAAACTGAAATCTAAGAGGAACATTAAAAAAAATCAGAATATGCCTTAAATTAGCAGAAAAAGGGTTAAGATGTAGTAAGCACAGAGGGCCTATGAAAAGGCAAGCTAGTATGCATAGCAAACTTTAAAAACAAGCAGTAAAATATATATATTTTATATGGGAAAATGAAATCCTAGGATCACATAGCAACAGACAGAAGATAAAGATCCAATATCTCTGCAGTCACAGAACTAAGTGAAATGAAAGAAGAAATAGTAAGTAAGGATCTATCAGTTCAAAAAGGTATAATCTAGAAGAGAGCCAAGACACATTGACCCAGATACCCACAGTTTTAAAAGAATGATCAACAATAAAGGAAACCATAAGAATAATAAATAATTGTAGACTTTTTTCCCAGTATTAAGGAGGAAAAAAGAGAAAAGCAAGAGAGAGAAATTCTTGTCCACATAATGAAGTAGTAAAAAAGGATAGCAAGGATTTATAAAGCTTAACTACTCAAGGTATGTCTACACCACAATGTAAGACTTGGCTCAGCCTTAGTTAAGCCCACATTCAACTTTCATCCAACATAAATCTTTCAGACTCAAGATTAGACCTGAGGACACTATGGGAAGTCCAGGATCTGCTCCCAAATCAAGCTGGAACCTAGAATTTGAGCCTCCTTGCTTTGAAGTACAGACAAAGTCGTCCTCTCTGCCACCTCAGACTTGAGTCCTGGATGCCTGTCAAAAGAATCCCATAGACCAACTTCCTTTTTCCTCTCTATCCCAAGAGTCTCCAATCAACTCCAGTGAAAAAAGCAGCCCTCCCTAATGAGACACCATTTTTTTTTCAGAAGAGGCTCTTGCGCAAGAAGGAGCGACTACACTGCCCCTTCTTGCGCAAGAAAAACCCTCTTGCGCAATGCTGTTACACCTATTACTTTTCAGGAAGAATGGCATTGCACAAGAGGGTTTTTCTTGTGCAAGAAGGGGCAGTGTAGACACTCCTTCTTGCACAAGAGCCTCTTCTGAAAAAAATGGTGGCTCATTAGGTATGCAAATTAGGATCAGTGATATTCCACGCATGGCCTCATTTGCATATTACTCGCGCAAGAAGCCGCGAGTGTAGACATAGCCTTGGTGTAGTGCAGAAACTAGAGTAAGTCAGCATTTAACCATTCCAATGTCCTCTAACCATCAAGCTTCAAACACGAGAAGAGACTTCTGTTTTTGCAAGGGAAACTGAACAAAAGCAGCCTTTAGTAAAGCACCTGCTTCACGGCCATGAGCATACAGCCAGATGTTGGTAAATTTCTGGTGTGAGGCAGCAAAACAATGCACTTTAGAAGAATTGGTGTCAGGAATGACCATACATACCAGCAAATAGCAAATAACCTGGTAACTTGGTAAATTTACCAGACTGGTGACCAGTGCAGGGAGCAGACTAAGTAGCTCAAGGCTGAGTACAGCCCAACTAGAGACCAGAACCATATCTCTGGCAATTTGCTGATATCACAGCCATTTTATGAGGAGTTTGGGTGCTGGGAAATGCCCAACACAGAGCCAACAGTGGTACATGATAACTTGGTTAGCCAGAATGACACCCTGCTGGCCTCAAAAGCCAGCATAGGAACTGAAGGTAACCAGCAACAAGTGCCAAGCAAGGACTGTGAAGTCACACTGTTACTGAAAACAGTCCCAGAGGCAGTGTTAGACCAGGAGTACCAGCAGCACAGCCATACTTGGAGGAGCTGTTTGATTCTCCCCATGAGGAACAATCCACCATAGAGCTTGCAGCAGATACAAAAGGGACGGATGCCTTCCCTTAGCCTGGCAAGGTTCTGGTTCCATTTGAATGTTTATTAATACAGTAATGTAAGGGACTACCAATGTATGAAACAATACAAATGTTATTACAGATTCCAGCTAGAAGCATATACCTGCTAATGGCAGATTCTATGCCACCCTCACTCTCACTTCTCCCTTCACCACATGCAGTTCAAAATGGTGACTGGAAAATGAAAACAGTAACTCCCTAAAAATGCATTTTTACTTGAGACAGTAGAGAATTTTGCTAGGGCTATTCCTATTTCCTAAAAATAGCCACCTTCCGCCATGCTCCTAAATATCATGGGGGTAACCAGTCTATCCTGTAACAAGCTGTCTGGAAACACTCAAATGTGGGTGGGTAGGAAAGTATTTTCCATTTACAAAGATAACCCATTTCAGTTACAGGCTATCCATTCAGCCCATAGATGACAAAATAATTTACACCAAATTTGACTGGGACTTTGTTTTTTTCCCTAGAAATGTGCAATGGCAGGGGTAAGGATGACTGTGCAGTTCTTTGTATTTGCATGAAGCCATAAGGGATAATTAGGAATTAGTATGCAAACACGATTTCTCATCACTGGGATCTATAGCAATCCATTCTTCAATCACTTCCTCATATCAATCCAAACTGAGAATTACCTTAAGGTCCACCTTTTCATAGGTTAA